TAATGGCGCTATAGCCATAAGTCATAAAAGGCTAGGACAAGAGTTAGTGCTCATGCCCCAACTGTCAACTGCCGATGTTTTCTGAATCATCTTGCCCCCTGCACAGTAGGCCTGGCCGTTTTGATATGTGTGACGCATCTTTGATGTGAAACATATATCAAATAGACAAGAAAAATGATGTAGGTAGGGTTAACTACCCCATTTCCGGCCTATTAAGCACAACCCGCACTTAGTATTTCTTAATCTAGCTCAGGTTAGCACCAAACGGAATGTTATTAGTACTAATGGCTTCCAAATTTATTTACCTTTCCGTACGTACCGTAAAATTTGATAAAGAGCAACCAATCGTTGAGATATTGTCAAAAGTCTAACACTGCTTCTTGACGCCAAACTCGGCCTACGGATTCTAAACTCAGCCTAACGCATTAAAACGCCATTGAAACGCCAATGAATTCACTTCGGCCTATCGGATGAAGATAAAAATTGATTCGGTCAGAGCGCTTCCTTTGTTTTTGGGAATTATCGGTGCAAACCTTCATATCACGCGTTCTCATTGACTTTGTTCGGTAGCTTATTAACTAAAGTATCGTACCAAACGCATAATTTACTTGTTAACTCTGAAATCATGGATTTATTTGAAGTGTTCTGCTCGATAGGCCCAAAATGGGCGATTAGGCCGAAGTAGTGCTCTACCTTATATAAATTCTCCAGGATGCTTTCAAGAACTGGCTGTGTTGGTGTTAGATTAGATTAGATTAGATTAAATAAGAATCAATCAAACCAGTCGACATTCATCTTAGTAGTCTGGGGTGACTTCGCCATGCCCAGCATGATATTTACAAGAAAATTAACGATCCATCGGACCAGAAAAAGGAGCTGGCAGCAGTACGCCTTTTGAAATCGCATAAACCGTGTTCCGTTCGAGAAATTGCCAAAAAGTTGGACATTAGCCTCGGAACTGCGCAGAATATCAAAAAAACGTAACAATATCAGAACCCATAAGAAGCAAAAAGCACCCAAAATGACGGATTCACAGAAAGCTTCTTCGAAAATACGGTCAGGGAGCTTGTATGACATTCTCCTTCAAAAGCCGAACCGGTGCCTTTTGATGGACGACGAGACCAGTACACTTCCCGGGCCGCAATTTTTCAACGCTGAGCCCGAGACAGATGTGTCTGATGATGGGCGATACATCCGAACCGGAAAATTTAGAAAAACAGGTTTTGGTATGGTAAGCCATTTGCTCCTGTGGCTTGAAAAGTTCTTCGTATTTCACAACGAGCACAATCAATGGTGAAAATTACAGAAATAAATGCATTAAAAAACGGTTTTTACCCATCTACCAAAAGCATTCGGATGCTCCATTGTTTTGGCCGGATCTGGCATCTACTCACTATGCTTCTACTTCGTTGGAGATGCTCAAGCCTGAAAAAGTTGATTTTGTCGGAAAATTCCAAAATCGCCCAAACTGTCCTCAACTGCATCCCATCGAAAGATACTGGGCAATAATTAAACGGCATCTTAAGAAAGATGAAGAGAAGCAAACTCTGTTGACAGCTTCAAGAAAATTTGGTCTGCAGCACAACGAAAAGTTAAGAAAAAAAGTTGTGCAGAATCTAATGGGCGGTATCAAAAGAAAAGTCCGAGCGTTCTTCAGAAATGAGAAGTAAACATTCAAACGTGAAATCGGTCATTTATATGTTGACTTTCATTTATATAAAGTAAACTTATGAATTTGTTCAAAAATAAATATTTTCCTTTGAGAAACAGGTGTCTACTTTCATTAATGAACAGTCCTTATGATGTGAGGTGATAGATGGATGCTCATGTGATTTGGGATATCGCATGATAGATTTTGACCCTAGTCAAAAACTGAAAAATTCTCCGGGGGTATAAGAACATGGCTGGATGAGGCCAGCGTGATCCTGCACACTTCAAATGACTGGTTTTTGAATTCTCATGTCATTTGATGTGTCACATTATGGGTCTTATTCGTTTCAGTTCAGGTTTAGTCTCATAGCCCATACAAACCGGAACTTGTTCCAGCCATATATCGGGACCCAGAAGAAGAATTTCAAAAATATTGAAAACCTGTGTATGAGACCATGGTGCCTTGCGTTGTTGCGTCCAATTTGGTTCAGTGGTTAGCGAGAAACATGACTTATTTCCAAAAAAAATCCGTATTCCCTGAAATATGTACTGGCAACCGTATGACCGATTCTGAAACTTTTCAGTAGAATTCTATGGCACCATGATACCTTGCATTTTTCGGTTATTGCGTTCAATTCTGTCAAGTAGTTCCCAAAATCCATGTTTTTAATATCTTGATCCGACCATATCTCCGGAACCAGATAACCGAATCTAAAACCATTTGATTAAACTCTATGAGATCATTATATCTTTTATTTGGTGGTTGTTGCGTTCAATTCGGTTGAGTGGTTGCCGAGAAACAAAACTTATTCCCTAAAATCTGTATTCATTTGATCTTCAGGACTAAATGACCGATGGCAATAAAGGGTGCCCACAGTTAAATTGCATCACTTAGAAGTACTCGCCAAAAATAAGTCTCTCAACCGATTGTCAAGAAATTTTCAGGAAATGTAATACTACACAGTTGAAAATTCGGAATTTTACTGGTGATGTAAACATCCATGGATGCAAAAATGTATGCATGTAAACTTCCATTTCACGTAAACTAGCAGCTTGCAAGAAATGTGGCTTACAAAGAAAGACAGTTGCATACAATATATGGAATATTTCATGACATGTGTCATAAATTTACACGATCTGTAATGTAAACTTGTGTGATGTATGCCGCTCCTTTTATGTGCATCATAGTAACGCAAATTTACACTATTTTTTTTAACTGTGTATATATAAGCTTGGTTTACGTATCTTTATTTCATTATATTTCTTCACCAAATCCACCCATAAGGTTTTGTACAACGGTTGAATCGACATTTTTTTTTCTGCTTTCAACCATGATTTCAACATTTCCCGCTCCGTAGGTTGTCAGGACGCTTACGAAGGTCGTGGTTCATTATAGCCCAGTATCTTTCGCAACTCCGTTGTGTTTGGGGGATTGAGATCCTTCGGCACGAAATTGACCTCATTCGTCTTGTACCACTCCAGAACGTCCTTGGCGCAGTGACAAGAGAATACATCCGGCCAAAAATGTAGGAACGATGTGTGATTTAAGAAACGGATGCAGTCGTTTCTTCAGGCACTCATTCATGTAGACTTGACCATTTACGGTTGTAGTTGTTACGAAAGGCCAACCGATCGCTTGTGATCTTCAACGCAGTACGGAACACTTTTTCTTGCACTCACTCAACTCACTCAACTCAATCGGAAGCAAGATTGACAGTTAAACGTTCTCCGAAACGTTTTATGACACGAGAAATAGTAGATTGTTAGATTCCCAACACCTTTCCAATGGCTCGGTATGAAAGATGTGGGTTGTTGAGGTGAATGTGCAACGCGCTGTTTCTTCGATTCCATTTTCAAAACTACTAAAAAATTCGCAATGAAACTCATGCAGTGTAAAAAATACACGCCAATGAGGTCATCTCACGCAAAATTGCTTTTTTTAAAGTGATGCAATTTAACTGTGGACACCCTTTACCCACAACCAGCGATAGAAGATGCCCCTTCCCTTTCTCCTCCCCCTGGAGCGTCCAGAGCTGATCTCATAATTATAAATGTTTCAAATTTTAAATTCGAATTTTAGGAAACATAACAAATCTGAAAAGTTTAAGCTTTATTTATTTATATTTTTTGTAAAATAACAGCAATTTTAAAAGGCATGAAGTGTGCACTGTATCAGCCACGTGTTCAACGGAAAACTCGTACCACCCTTATAGGTGGTTCGCCTCCAGTTGTTTATTCTACTTTTAACGCTTAACATGGCACCCGAAAACGACTTTTATCATTCATTCCCAAACAAACAGTCGAACAAACACGTACACTTATCTCCCAAAACAGTGCACCTAGCATGTCAAATACGATAACTCCTTCCCAGTTTAGTGCACCTTTCCTCTCCCTAATAATATCGGACCAACCAGAGCCACGGAATGAGGAAAACGAAACAAACCAGGCGGCACCTCATTAAATTTCCATGAGCGTCTGCTTCATTTGAACTGCACCGGACTTTCTTCTGACGTCCGTCCGTCCAAGTTGAACCTTAAAATATATGTCTTTTTTTTTAATGTCGTTTCTTTACCTTCTCCCCCGGTCGGCCGGTTGATCCCCCAAATAGAAACTATTTAGCCGGCTCTTAAACGGTGGAGAGCGCGTATAGGAAGAAGGTACACACCGCGTGTTTATGCATCGGAGCGAGCAGCGAGCGCGTCTTTGGCGGTCTTCTTCCCGCGCTCTATGATAATTATTCAACAGGGCCGAACGACGACAACGACTTCTCGAGCAGCATACGTAAACAGTAGTAGAAGGTGCGCGGGGGATGGCTGGGCTGCTAATCTGGATTCGGGTGTGTACGTACATATGTATATGGTCGGTCGGTGTGAAGATAGGCTACAAACCTGCTGCGGTTTGTTGAACCATCTGCGCCGTCCCGTTCTGCTGCTGTACAGCACGAGTATTGGCCCCAAAGAATTTACTTATCACAAACTGTGATTTATAGCACGTTTTATTGCACCCCGATGAAACGATGGTGCTTGATGGCAGGCAGTGAACGCAATTCAAATATGTACAACAATATCCCCGGGCTTAGGACAGGCGTAGGACTTATTTGGAGTTCTGCAGCGACGACGCCGCTGTTTGACCACCTAAGCAATTAAACCGAGCGCAACTGTTGTTAAATGGGCCCTGTTCAACGAACACCACCGCCACTGCATCTTGTTTACAAATTAGTTCAGGTGGTCTTCAAAGAATGTTTTAATTGTCTGTAACTGTACTTTCTCATGTGAACATTTGTTCTACTTTGTATGGAAATCGTCTTGCGCTTCAAATATAATGATAGAAACCGTCAATATGCCACTTACCGAAAAGTTCATCCGCATCAACCAACCGAACCACAAGGACAATGACAGTTTGCACTGCCGGAAGTCCCCAGGCAGCCAGCTGGAACAGCGTATTGTACGATGACTCGGTCTTCTCAGCCTGTGGATCGCCACTCAGATCGTTGCTCAGCAGCCGACGAACCGATTTGCTCCAACGCAAGCAAAGAATCGCCCACCTAGACGGGGAAAACAAATACAAGAAAATAATTAGTTTAGCCGCAATCTTGCATTTACACGCCAAAAGTAGTGTAACTGATTAGATAAATGAACCGATGGCGCGGGATCTTTCCATAAACCGGCACCGCTCGCTACCGTCGGACAAGCGGAACGAAAAAACATACATACATACATACATTCTTAATTAGGTTAGCAGATAATCCGACCGGTATCTAAAAGAGTATTATGCGGTGTTTAAACAACTACCGGCAAGGGTAAAATAATCCAACGAAATGTTTTAAATATTTACGTCTCACTTAGAACCCTCTCGACGACGGTCGGCCTCGAGTGCTTCCCGTTCCGATCTCAATAGTTCCTAATTAATTTCATTCATCAACAAGGTTCGGATCGACCATTAATTGGGGAGATAGATCAACATGGCCTGCAGCACCACACGACGGATCTCAGAGAAAGAGGATCTAATTTATTGGTTAATCTATTGGTCGTTTTCATTCTCAGCTCATTTCCGCCTGGTTTCATCTCAGGGCTCAGGGGGTGAAGGAAAAGAAGTCATGTACTTACTGCGCGCTAGCTGACGCTAACTACTGAACTATTCTTTAACATTCCCCAGAGAGGGATTAGCCAAGTGTTGAGCCAAGCGAGATTCTTTAAGACCCAAGCGGTAACGCAGTCGGTGCAATAAATCGTCAGGCGATTAAATTAATTTTCTCTGCAGCCGCAGCACCAGCGTCGATGGGTGTTAAATCAGTGCCGGACACGTCCCTCTGGGACCAGGAGCGGAAGAAAAAGGAATGAAGGGGGATCGTTCATATGAGGATGGATCGCTGTAAAGATGGTTGTAAATTTCTTGATATAGATTTACGAACTTTGTAATTTGGCCGGCTGAGAAGGCCGATAAGTTAAGTTTCAATTTATTGGGTAGGCGATGAATCTTTCCTCACGTGTCTCAGGACAGTAGATTTCGAAAAACTGTTCCTGTTCCAAAGAGGTCGAAGATGACGACCACGACGCACAGTGGAGTACTCAGCACATCAAACCTGATCAAAATTGTGTTGATACCGTTTTCCATTACAAATGACCCATGAATCTGTTACAAACAATATAAGACGATTTTAAAAGAGAAATTGTGCAGATTAATACACCGCATATATGAGAATTCATACATAACGCGGTGCTAGTATACAAGCGACATGTAATATATAAATGCGAAAGTTTGTTCGTTACGCTTCTGTTTCTTCTTCATTTTGCTTTTTGGAGGGTGGAAAAGTTTTTTTGTTTTTCATCATTTGTTTCGCATCGATCTTGTTTTCCATGCTGAGCACCAATGCTACCGACGCCAGGGAGGCAGCTCCCACACCTGGACCCTACCTATCGACCCATCAACTCATGAGCCGGGGACCAACGGTTCTACTTCCCTTCCGAAGAAACGCGTGATCAGAGATTGAACCCAGGCCTGCTGGGGTGAGAGATAATCACGCTTACCACTACACCACCGGCGCCGCTGGGTGGAAAATGTTAAACTTAAATGGAACGTATATTGTAGTGTACTTTAAACTAAACTAAACTACACTAGTATAATGTGGTGTAATACAAATTTTCGACACCATTTTGAATATTTTTAAATCCAAGATGGCGACTTCTGAATTTTAACTCTTATAATGTGGGTATTTTCGAAACGGAAACGACGAGTAAAGACCATAATTCGATCATTGATGCCATTTTGAAATCCAAGACGGCGGCTTCTGGTTTTGAAAAACAGTTAAATATCAAACAGTTAGAATCCAAGGTGGCAGCTTTCAGATTTATCTAACTTCCGAAGATGGCGACGCACGGTTTCTGAAAAACTCAATACCATACATAACGTGATATTTTTGGAACGGTAACGACGGGTTAAGAGCCTGGAAATCGATGATTGACGCTATTTAGGAATCCTAGATGGCGACTTCCGGTTTAAACAAAAAACTGTCAAATACCCTACACACTTAGTGTTGTTTCCTGAGATTCAGCTAAGCATTATCCGAGACTCAGCAATCAAATGTCACTTTTGCTGAGATCTCAGTGAAACTTATTTTTGCCGAGCTCGGTAGAAAAAACTAAGTGTGTACACTATGGGTATTTTGAAAACGAAAACGGCGTGTTGAGGCCAAAATGGCGAATTCCGGCTATCTAAAAACCAAAATGGTGACGGTAACGACGAGTAAAGACCATAAATCGATGATTGACACCATTTTGGAATCCAAGATGGCGGTTTCCGTTTTTTGAAAAGCTGGCAAATACCCAACAATATGGGTGTTTTCGGATAGGAAACGCCGGAAATAGGCGATTGACACTATTTTGGAATTCAAGATGGCGGCTTCCACATTTTTTAACTTCAGAAGATAGTGACCAAGGGGTGAGACAATGAGCATGCATGACCGCCTGCGGTTGCTTCTCTGTTATTGCCAGATCAGCTGCAATTACTTAGAGAACCATCAGATGATGTTTGGGACTAACATTCATCCTCAATGTGTAAAAACAGGAGATCTTATATTTAGCAATACCAGTGCCGGCCGTGTTCGAATGCAGGTCAAATAGGAAATGGGAAGGAATTTGTTGACGTGATACTTGCTGTGAAGGAAACCGAGAAGTCCTCTGCGCTCCCACGAGAAATCACGGGGATGTTGGATGTGGGGAATGGTTTGCAGCAGGGATCGTTTTGGTAAACTAATGCTCATTGTAGCGATTTATAATAGGTATACAAACACAAATACGCAGACGCACACGACACACACACACACGACACACACACACAAACACACACACACGCACTCATGACTATAAACAGAACATCCAATGATAGATCCCTCGAAAAGAACTAAACTTCAAGAACAACATGTGAAAAGACATACAAGCTTTTTGTAAACAAACATTTTTATGCCCTTTTCTCGCCACCCATAAGACACCAACGCAAATCATCAACATCGCCGGATAGGGGAAGGTTTCCCGTTCCCGATGATGTTGTTAGTTTGCGTGGGCGACCCTCGGTTGGCGAGAAGAGGGCCTACAAAGGTTTGTTTACAAAAAGCTTGTATGCCCTTTTCACATGTTTCTTGACTTATCTTTGTATGCTTCATCTGTCATGTTACATGGGGCGCCACCGGAATTTTTTGAGGCATACAATCTCCAAATAACAATTGCCTGCAGGCTGCAGTAGGAGCTATTCATTGGGATAGTGGACCTCCCCATAGTGCCACTATTTGAGGAGCATACTGGCGAGAAAGTTAAAATCCCTCAGAATAGAGTGCTGAGGATGGTACTTGATCGTCCTTTTGACACTAGAATAACAAATTTACATGAAGAGGCAGGCATTGCCAAAATAGATTCCAGAATTAACGAAATTAAGACTAAATTTGCACAAAAATGTAATTTATCAGAACATGCTTTGATAAGCAATTTGTATATAGTAGATTAGGTGTATATAGTAGTTGTAGGTTAGTTGTAGTTGTAAATAGTAGTTATAAGTAGTCTCCTTTTTCAAAATTTTAAAACAAACCAATCCCACCAAGGTGGTCATTCTCTAAAACAGGCCTGATAGGACTAGGAACTGTAATTAATAATAATTGAAATTTCACAGGAACTAAAGTTGAAAAGACGCATCTGTGTCACTTGATAAGTTATACATGTAAACCACACAAATTCAAGAAATATAGATCATTTAAAGTCAAAAAGAAAGTTAAAATCCTACTATCCAACTAGGAGTCAATGATTTTTTTAAAACTCTACATAGATTTCGTGCTTTTAGGTTTCGGATGATGATTGGAGATTGCAAAACACTTGTTTCGTTACCTTTATGTGACGAAGATGAAGAAGAAGTCTGCCAAGTTTGTAAAGAGGGAATACACATTTTAATATTGTGAAATAATAATTTTGCGATTCTCACAATAAAAAGATCACTTCATTAGCTTGTTTGTGTTTTGCAAGTCCAAAGCTAATTTGTATAAATTGATTCCAAAACAGTCCATATTAATATTTCAACATACCACAACCGTTTCTGAAAGTTTACAGCAGTATTTTCAGACCGTGGAGCATGATCGCTGATGTCATAAACGCGGTACACGATTTGAAAACCTAGGGCTTATAGAAGCAGTAATTAAACCATTCCAACATTATCAAAAATGCCGGTTTGATCTTGTCCAGACTTGATAATCGTTTATAACATCGATTGTCAACGTTACCCCACCGATCAGCTCGGTCTACATCGCGTAATTCCTTTTGGTGTGGAAAGCCTCCACAACTTCTAATTCAGCTCCGATCAGCCTAAATTACTTCAGCTAGTGTCACACTGTCAATAGCCTAATTTTCACCTATTACAGAATGATGATAACGCTAAATATTTCTTAAGTATTTTTAAGTATTTTCAGGTATCTTAGATATCAGTAAGGACTTTCTGTGTAGAACGCGAGAAATACAAAGTTTAGAGTGGGATTCCCCTAGCTGCACACTTAGGATGTGAACCATTTGCCGAGTTAAATTTAACTCGTGGTTAAAAGTGACATTTCGAAAGTTATTTTCTACACACTTAAAGATTTTCACCGAGATTCCAACAGCCGAGTGGTTCTGCAATTTATTTTGCTGAGATTCAGTAAAACAATTGCCGAGACTCAGCTAACAAATATCATTATGCAAAGATATCAGCTATCAAACAGATGTTTTGCAGATATATTTCGGATATGTCAGCAAAAGTAAATGTAAAGTAATGTAAATGTAATGTAAAAGTAAATTCGAAAATCCCTGTGCTGTCGATCGACCGGTTTTCGAGAAGAACTTAACCAAGGTTGTTAAAATTTAACTTCTTGTCTGTCTGTCTTTCTGTCAGAAATAACCATGCTCGGATAGCAGGGTTAATCGATAACTTTCCATCTGTCAAATTTTAACCAAAAGTTAAAATAATCCACCAAATGGTTCAGAGCCTTTGTTTTTTGCCGAGATGGGCACCACCGAGCAGCTCGGCATTTATTTT